TTACTACCTTGATTATTTTTCTCGCAAAGAAACAAACTCGAGTAAAGCATTCAAGATGAGGGACGCCCATAATCTCAAAACGAAAACACTCAAGTTTCATCCTGATACAGAAAAGCATTGGCAGGAGACAAAAATCGAGAAAGCTCCACGCGTGAGCCTTCGCGATCACGCACAACAAGTAGTTTTGAAATCATTAACTAGAGCGGGTCTAGGTAGAAGAAACAAAAATTGGTAGGCTAATAAAATTAGTTGGAATTATCGATCTACTTGTACTATCTGGTCATCAAAGCATTCGTGGGCTTACAAAAAATTCTGTATATTCGTCCACAAAGTGTGTTGCAATTCCTCACATTGCAAAAATAGCTCCTATTACTTCCTTAGTTGTAGAAAGCATTCACTTCCACTTTGCTTGTGTAATCACTGTCTGAACAAATCCTCGCAAATTGTTACGGGAAGCTTGGAAAGCCCTTACCACTTACGATCAAATTATAACGGTTGAGCACCGAGGCAAAAAGCAACTTTGGTTGTTGAATTAAACCCGACATCTGTCTGACGCGACGCAAATCGTTTCAGTTTCATCCTTGAAACTTAATTTGCGATATCCTTATGGAAATGAAATTAAACAAGGTCGCCCCTTGCATAAAAGAAATCTTTCCACCGCACCGGATTTCCTATAAACTTCAGCAACTAGACATTGCGCGGAAGCCCTGTGAAGTGTGATTGCAAGGATCTTCAAAATGACCCTGGAGCCAAGAAAATTTTTGGAAGGTTACCGGTTGGTAACAAAAACAGCAAAAAAGGTGACCTTCAAAAGTTACTGCGCAACTTCATTGCCAACTTTTGAAGTACCTTTTATTGTGAAGTTCAGTACATGTGTGATTTAGGCAAACTGTAGATGAAGGTCTACATGGAACTCGGCTCGTGATGCAGTGACTTCTCCATTGAAGAGCTAGAAACTTGAAAGTTAGTTTCACTTCACTAATCCTGTTGTAATGACATATTTCACATTCGGCATATCATTTGCAAAACCCTTTGTTGTATTTTAGTCTTCCGCATTATCCTAAACATTCCAGCTAACTTACTTTGAAATCTCCTTTTTCTGCACATAGAATTCTAATTTATGATATTTGCTGCTTTTATGTCGCATATTTTGCGCTTCATGTTGTGCATTTATCGAAGCAAATTTCATCGTGGCGATGCTAGCAGAATCGTTATCGCGCGCAAGATTGTTACGATCACAGGCAAGATGAAAAGCTTGTGAGTTTTCCGCGCAGTGTACCACGTTCAATACTGTCATGGTTGAAGAGTGGCAATTTTTTACAGTTGGTTTTAGTTATGCGGCTTCCATTACTTCAAAACTTTCTTTGTTAAAAAATTCTCCATTGCCACAACCACCCATTTTTTGATGTGCGCATTATTTGAACAATTGCACCGGGAAGTTCGCGAATGCTTGCCGGACCATCAATGATTTATGCCGGAACCGCCCGATAGACCTATGTTAGGTCCAGTGACGCCGTATTTACGACCCACAGCTGGCTCATTTTGTCCTCAGAGTAGTGTTTTTGGAAAAACTTTTGGTATGGGCACTGGTACCGAAGGTACCGTAAGGACGTGCAGTTTCAACTGACAAAATGAAATTTATTCAGTGAGAAAAGACTGGATCTGAAAAAAGTTGTGCCCGCTTAGATTCAAAGGTGAAAAACGAAAAAACTTTCCAACTGGCCTAATGTTAGCAGCTTTTGGACCAAAGGATAAATAAAATCAATAAATGAATAGAGTCGATTAGTTTTGCGCAAGGTATTATGCAATATTTTTTTGCTTATCATTGAAAACTCGCAATTCCAGAAAACATATCACTCTATAAAATAGTAAACTTGTTTGGTCCTTATCCATCTGTACTTTTGCTGTACCGTATCCCAAAATTGAACCATGCTAACTTCGCGCTCCAACTTTGAGCGTGGCAACACCCACAGCGTCCACATTCTGGAGCAATTTTCTGTCTTCGAACTACATTCACTGCAGCGGGACTTGAACAATCAGAGCCTCTCTTTTCAACCCTAAAATCTCACCGATCTCAACTGGGTGAACGATGCCTCTGAAAACCATCTTAAGTTTGGAAAAGGAGCATCATGATCATGAATAAAGAAGCACACTTATTGATTCAGGCTACGTCACTTTTCTTTTTCCTTCTTGCAAATGCACGTTCGCCTTATGCAAAATTGGTGGTTACTAAACCATGGAATATGCTTTCAAAATCGATTTCAATTTTCGCTCAAAGCTGCTGTACGTTAGATGGCAACTTTCACAACAAATCTGCAAATATCGCAATAAAACGACTGCTGACCTATGATGCACGAATAGTTCGCGAAACGCACCTGCATGTGTAAACTTTGCCCAGTTTTTAGTCATACGTCATTCTTTCCGCTACTTGTCTATAGCTCGCTGAACTTCATGCCGCCCTTCGTTAGCGTATAAATCGCAAAATGTACGCTACATAAGCCGGATTACAGCATCCATTTCGGACTGAAAACCAACACGTATCATCGTTGTCTTTTCAATGCTGCTCAATTTTGATTCAAATACATGAATTACCGTTTCTTTGTTTACATTTTCAATTTACAGAAATCGCCTTTCTTGTAATCCTTACGGCATTTGAAATGCTCATGCTACGCATTCACAAAAAGCAACATTACTACTTTTTTCTGAATTTAGCAATAGGATTAAAACTATTGCGGGTTTTATTGTTATTCATTTATTGCTATTTATCCTATTTCTGGCATTTTTTTTTGTTAATCACCTCTTCACTATTACTTGGACTGCATCTGGATTCTATCATAACACTGTCATGGCAAATCTTTTAGCTGGAAGTTCCGACTATAAAATTTTCCTTGACTTCAATAAAAATGAGGAATGAATAGTTTTTCTTTAACAGGCTTTCTAACAACAACCTTCCATGCTTCCGAAATTATTTAATGCAATGCGCCCCCAAATCTTAGTAGATTTTCTCAGAGTACAGTTTACTGTCAGAAAATCCAAATTCTTTCAGTTTTGATGGCGGAATTTACTACATCCTTACAGCGCTCTTTGTGAACCAGCTAAAAAAAATTGTAACCAAATGTACATTCTGCCACCTTCACTATCCTAGAGATGTCAATAATAATAATAGCTTTAGGTTATTCTGAAAAGTGCATAATTGTCTTTTTCCATTGCTCTTGGAGTTACAGAATTAAAAGTGTAAAGCAGCAACTTCTGCTAAACTAATGGAAAACTTTGAAGAAATAATGTCACTTAAAAATCCTGAATTTTTCTCAAATACGTGATGGTAGCTCATGGATTTTATTGAAGCAGTGTTATTGTTCCATTTTCAGGGTATCTGAAGCGAAAACTTCTCACATAATGTCGCAACTCATTTGGGTAAGTGAAATTTATTCACATTGACCGAAGTCTCTTGTTATAATTAGTAAAGCTGGTCATGAATCGGGTTGTGAGCCTTGTTTGGCTGATGCAAGAGCAAAAATAACGATGAAACGTACTGTATTGCAAAATTTTTACATAGTCAAACCATATCGTCAAATGGAAAACTGATATTATAAATTAATTGTTTACAACGTATGTACTCTTCCTGATTAGATCCCACGCAACCAATGATGAGTCACGGTTCGCTTTTTGTCCAAGGTCACTGAAAGCGCACACAGCTCGATTAGCCAGACCATGAGTGTGATCTTTGTACCATTGGTCTCTCAACTGAATATGATTTTCAGATTCTGCTAACAGCTATCGCAGTACCGTCATTTGCAGGTGAGGCGGTTTACGAATTATACAAGATTTACATGTATTAAGACTTGAGCAAAAAATGGGAAATAAACAATACTAGCTGGCTAACCCGGCTCCGCCGTATGTTCCGAATAGAAAATTCCTTTCTAAACCGATCCAGACCAAACTTGGCACACATACACTTCGGGCCCTGGCGGGTGTCACAGTCCACTTTTCGTTATCGATCGATGTCGATTTTATCGATTTTTTGCAAAATTTGAGCTAGGGGGCTGGAATTTGGCAGAGGGGTGTAATCGAGCATGCTGATCACCCCCACGGGGGTGATCAGCATGCTCGATTCCCCTGTGCCAACTCCCGGCCCCGTAGCTCAAATTTTGCAAAAAATCGATAAAATCGACATCGATCGATAACGAAAAGTAGCCTATGACACCCGCCGGGGCCCGAAGTGTATGTGTGCTAAGGTTGGTCCCGATCGGTTCAGAAATGGAATTTTCTACTCGGAACATACGTACATACAGACATACATACAGACATACATGCATACAAACAGACATTCAGCTTTATATATAAGATAGGTATGACGAGGGAACGGGTGCGACGGTCTTCGGATGTGGAATGATCAAAAGTAGTAAGGGAGGCAAAAAAGAGACGTCAAGTTCCATCCAACACACTCGTTTTTTATAAGCTTATGTTAATGCTTTGAATTAAGATAAAAAAGAAGAATATAAAACAAGATGAATGAAAGTTTTAGTCGAGATAACCTGGATTCAAAATGGTTTTCACGGAACGGCTTGAAAAATTTATCCTAAATATCAAATATCTCCAGGAGTTTCATAGAAATTTTCCGGACTTTTCTTATTCTCTGCAATCCTTGTCAGGCTCTAGAAGGGATTACGACATTTCCTTCACAAATTGAATAGGTATTTTTGAGAAAAAGTACTTTTCGAATGGTTTCATGAGCCCCTTTTGTTGTGTAAACGCACAGAGGCTGTTAAGGTAATCTCACCTACTGAATTAAAGAAGCTGCGGGTGCCTTTGATTTCTTTTCCATTTTGGAAGAAAATCTTCCAAACCGCCATGTTTGCATCAGTTTCCTTTAAGTCTGCTAACGATCAAGCTAAAGTTACCGTGTATTTGACGAATATCTCACCCTTTCAGAATTTTCATTTTCAATAACAACGACGACTTGCGATAATGTTCGATGTATGGGTAACACTACTTGCAAAATGATCGAAGGGAAACCGAAGTGTGTGCCAGAAGCGCTAAGTCGTCGAAGTCAAGGTCCATAAATAAAAAAAATGGCGCGCCGATTCTTATTTGAGAATTTTCTAGAAGATTCCAATCCATGTGCAAGTAAATCTTGTCCCGTGGGCACCGAATGCAGGCTGCAGCAAGTTCAGTGCATAAGGGCACCTTGGTATCAAATTTGTTTTAGAATCATATCGCTCTGGTGTAAAAAAAGTTCAATTTCTAGCCCTCCGCTCGCTGTATGCGAAACTCCCGCTGGCAACAATAAATGTGGTGTGAATGAGACATTCAAGGAATGTGCTACCAAGTGCGAGCCTACTTGTGCTAATAAATCACCGGTATGTTTCATATTCGATAAAAAAATTTCTGGAACAGAAAAAGTCAGATTAGCTGGCAAAAAACCAAAAATCGATTCAAAAACAACGTGATTACAATTTTTTATTTCAGATTTGCATTGAAATGTGTGCACCAGGCAAATGCCAGTGCAAGCCAGGATTTTACCGTAACACCACCGGTCAATGTGTGACTGAAGCCGATTGTGGTAGATAGAATAAGCAAATCTTTGCACTATTGTGACTATTAGAAGCCTGTTGTGTTCGAGACTTTATCGCACTAAACTATTTTCAATTTTTTCAAAATCACTCTTTGCCTAGTTTTTTTGTTTCACGAGATTCAACTACGCACATATGCAAATGTAACACGATGTAAATCACTCAGCGGGTTAGATTCAGCTTCACGGAAGTTTGCAGCGATTTATTATTTATTTTACTGTGCACAATTTTTTGTTTGAAAAAGTTTTCTATAAATTGCACTTAACATACACATGAGGATATTAAAGAAAAAAGATTAGTAAGCAGAAGGAGTGAAGGTGATCAAAGCCCTGAACCTCACGTGGAAAACTTTAGATCTTTGTCTAAAGAATATGGTCAACGAATAAGTTGTATAGGGGAAGTCACTACCAGGACTCAGCAAGACTGGCACTTGGACAAGCTGGATACCATTCTTATGGGTAAAAGAATGAGAAATACCGTATAATCTCAATCAAGTGTGTTCTGACGCAGGTATAGCGCTTTGGGAATATAACCTGAGACCTCGGGCACGATTCATGCGATATCGTCGCTCTCGATTCTCCCAACAAGACAAATGTTACGAGTCCATTGCATATTGATCATCTTGCATTTCAGTTGTAATAGTTAGTAAGATTAGTCGTGTCAGAAAACTGTCACAATCTAAATGCAAGGGAGGTATGGAATGGATTCGTAACACTTGTCTTGGTGGGAAAATCGCGAGGCGATGAAATCTTGTGAACTATGTCCGAGGCTTGAGAAAGACAGACCATCAATTATGAGCTTTGGTACGATGTCGCATGGCACGGACGTTAAACATTCAATCACATCATGACTTTGAAACCAGCTCTCAGATAGTTTGTTGACTGGTTCACAGTGAATATGACATGATTTTTGGTAAGAAAGTAGGGCCGAACATTTATGAGAGTTTACGCAAATAAAAATGCGTGATTATGCTCTTTCCAAACGGCTCGAGGTGTACAATTGTCTTTATTTCAATGGCCGATTTGTGTAAGAACACTACATATTGAATTAGCAGTGGTAAATGCAGACAAATCACGACAAAGTTACGTGGTATCCTATAAAAAACAAAGGCGACGAATGAAAATTCCAAAAAGGCCGTATTTAAACGGTAACCAGCAATCTATCAAGCTGGTAGGAATTCTGAGGGTAATCAAAACTTTTTTCTTTATATTTTTTCGATGGTCACATCCCTTCAAAATCCCACGGTATATTATGAACTTTGACGGTATTTCCAAAACCAAAGCGAAGCGTCCTTAATGAAACAGAGCAGACGATTATTTGAAGCACACTTTCAGTTTATAAGCTCAGTTTTCTCTTTTTTTGTTTGTTCTAGCGAGTACTCCAGACCAAAATTTTCCTTTAATCATGTTCAGTCTCTCGCGCTTCATCGATGTTCCCTAAATGTGGCACTAACGAAGTTATGACACTCTGCACCTCTTTATGTGGTGAGCCCACATGTGGAGCACCAGAACAGGTAGCAAATAAAAAAATTTTGATTCATATTATATATCCATAAATCGCACAAATTATTCAGAAGTTATGTACCGCTGGTTGTGGGCCAGAAGGATGCAAATGTGCTATGGGATATTTAAGGGACAGCAATGGCAGGTTTGTTGAAAATGAGATTTTTTATGTGCTGATAAGAAAGAAAAAATTGTTTTTCAGCTGTGTGACACCAGACAAATGCCCCCCAAGCTCCAACAATCTTACTGCCACTGCCAAACCACCATCAAAACCGCTAACTAATCTTCCAGGTTAATAGATATACGTTATAAAACAAATCTTCGGTTAAACGCAATTATGGCATAAAAAATGATTTTTTGGGGGATCTACCGTGGGGAATAATTGTAATTATATCTCTAGCAAAACGACAGCAGTTCGTAACAGCTTTCAGTTCCAGATATGACAGCGTGCACCTCATTTGAATGGTTTCTTAGTACAAGCTTATTGCCAAGGTTGTTGATGACTATGTATTTGTCCCCCCCCCAATGGGTAGCTTTGCAAAAGTTGCCTACATGAAACATAGTATTGCGCTAACTTGTTTCTGCCAGTGAATAATTAGAACGATCCTCAAAGATGTTCCATGTTCGACTTTTGATGAATCTTGGCATTACGATTAAGTTGCTTGAGTGATTCAGCCAACACCAAGATTTTTATCGTATTTATTCGGCTAACGTTTCGGCGTAGTCGCCTTCGTCAGATCCTCAAAAATTTGAAAAAAAAATGAAATACGCGTGGATGCGGCGACGTCTCTCATTCTGAATGTTGAGTATAAAAACCCATTAATTGTGGAAAGCATTTTAAAATTTTTCTAGAAAGCGTTGTTTTTCCTTCCCTCCCCCCCCCCCCCACTCCTCCCCCACCCTCCCCCCAAATACAACTTCACAGATCGGATCGAACTGAAGTACATGTATCACGTCAACGTAACCGCATCATGCTTCATATACTTGTTTCATACTTTTCATGGCCTGGCTTATGCGGTATCAACGAAATCTACTCTAACTGCACGTCACGCTGTGGAGAACCTGAATGTGGAGACCCGGAACAGGTAATTTAGCAGTTTATATTCTGGTAAATAAAAAGGTGATTTAGAAAATGTGCCCAGCAATTTGTGGTCCACCAGGATGCCAGTGTCTTCCTGGTTATCTCAGAGACAAGAGCGGAAGGTATGCTTACTTACTGAGTAATCGAATTGGACTGAAAAAAAAGTGATTTTGTTCAGCTGCGTAACTCCTGACAAATGTTCTTACTCTGCTCTTACAACTCCAATGACGTGTGGAATGAATGAAGAGTTTACAACATGCGGCGGATGTGAAAAGCATTGTGACCGAGTGGGTCTGGTAGAGATGTTTTCTTACAAACAATTGATAATCTCGGTTGTAGGAATACACAGCGGAATGCTCAAGAAAGTGTTTACCACCGAAATGTCAATGCCGAAATGGTTTTGTGAGACATTCTAATGGAAGCTGTGTTCTGCAGCAGTATTGTAAAACGGGTACGTGAAAGGACTATTTATGTACATGCCTATATCAACAAAGCTAAATGATTATATAAAAGATTAAATTGTACGAATTTAAGTAAACTCAAATTTCTTGTAGGAAAGCCCTTTGGGGCCATCCCGTAAAGCAAAATGGGACTTTTATTTGTCTAAGAAAAGGTTTTCACTATCACCTCTTAATTTTTGGTACTCTTCATTCTCAAACTTTAGGATCTGCTTTTGCCACTTGCGGTCTCAATGAAATCCACACTAACTGCACAGCGCCCTGTGGTGAGACTACCTGTGACAAAGAAGAGGTATGAAAGCTCGTTAAAGGTATTCTTTTCCAAACATTAATGTATTAGAAAATGTGCGGTGCTTCTTGCGGACCACCAGGCTGCACATGTCTACCTCGCTATGTTAGGAACAACAGGAATATGTAAGTAGGAGCCTTTTCAATTTTTCATAGATTAAAAGACTAGTGCTTGGATGGGAACACCTTTTCTTCGCAGCAAAGAAAATTCGCAAAAATAATCGTACACTTTAGATAGGCATAATTTAGAGCGAAAGATTTTCACAGACTTTTTTCTGAAAAAAAAACACTCATTTTCCGAACTCATGCAACGTCTTATAAAGTCATGACCGACTGATTTTTTAAAAATTGCGAAAATGTCGATTCTAGTTGTGTACCTCGTGACGAATGCTCTTCGAACTCCACCGAGTCTAATTCTACAGCTTTGCCGATTGTGACAGATGGTGGTAAGCCTACTGAACTTATTGTTAGCAACAAATCTTTCAGCAAAACCATTTGAGATAGATTTTGGTTTATTTCGAAATTTTCTTTCAGAGTCATGTGGTGAGAACGAAGACTACGAGGAATGCATGCCAAGATGTCAAATGACTTGTCGAGGTCATGTGCAGGTATAGTAGCAAACAATCCTTTTGGGGAAAATTTGGAATCTGGAAGAAAATATTGATAATAGCCGCGGGAAACATGATTCAATGAACCGGCAGTGGATTCAAGCTTTCTTTAGCTCCTTTTGTTTAGTGCTTTTCAACAAAATAACTATTTCGCATGCTATTATCAGCACATAAAATAATTAAATTGAAGTATTTTTTTGCGGTACATCAAAATCAAAACCTTTTTCAGTGTACTTCTGCATTTACGAGCACTGAATGTGTAGGAGGCTGCGTGTGCAAGCAAGGTTATCGCAAAGATGAGAACGGACTGTGCATCAAACCAAGATTTTGTCATCGAGGTTGGTGTAGCTGACTCCTATCGATGACTCGTGTAATGAGTTGCTTTCAGCTCCTGGTTGCTTGAAGAATGAAGTTTGGTCGTCGTGCGCTACTTGCGAGAAGACCTGCAATACACAGAGCAGGGTAAGCAGATATTCATTTTTGGGTGTGGTGCGGAAGGCGACAATCCCCAGTTTTGTGCCTATCAAAAACTCTCCGGTGTTAAAGTGACACCCCGGGGACTACGGGGGTGGGGGATGGGGGCAGATACATTACTCAATGCCACAAATAGAAATCCGTAAAAGTCGTTGAGACGGATGATACACAGCCTCCATTTTTCGCCGATTGTCGCCTTCCGCGTACCCCCCTTCATTTTTCAGCGACGATTCAAGAAATTTTTTGAGGGAGGGAGGCAACAGAAATCTTTTCAAATTTTTACGATTGCGTTTTTCCCGTCACGGGGGTTCTGGCGTAGAAAAATATTCGAAACGAATTAGAAAAGTATTCAGGTTTCTTCCTGGCCCATGAACCCAACCTTTAGAAAAAAAGCTGTGGAGGCACTCAAAAACATTTACAAAGCCAATTTGAATTTTTGAAATTTGAAAAATATGGTCATTACACTTAAAAACAAGTTCCTTGCATTTTGTAACCCATAAAGAGCACTTTCAAAGATTTTCGCGACCCATTCTTGTGGGAATCGCAAAATTACAAAACTGCTTAGATTGTAATTTTTTCGCTAAAATCTACTTTTTCGCCATGTGTTTGCGAGCCTTGATCGATTCGAAAAAATTGTTGAACATAAAATCGATCAAGCGGAAATTCCCGGAATAAAATTTCTGGGACCGGGAGCAGATTCGCCCTTCGAAAACACTCTAAAACGCTCTTTTAATTTACAAACCACTTACTTTGTATTACGAACCAAAAACGTGGCGATACTTTCAAAATCTTCGCTATTATTCGAGAAAAGCGGAGGGGGGAGGGGGTGGGAAGGGAAAGTATGTTCGTGCATACTTGCCCAAGCCTCCCCTTCGCTCCCCACCTTCATCATATGACAATTGAAAACACAAAGAAGCCCTACACTTTTAGTAAGCATTTGGTTTATGTGTCCATTGTTTGCATTAAGGTATGCCGCAAATGTTATTCTGGATGTGCTTGTATTGATGGATTCGTACGCAATGAAGAAGACCAGTGCATCCCCGAAAGTGAATGCAAATAACAACCTATCTCTGTTGTTAATAAATGCATTGAACAAAGCTCAGAAGGATTCCTCAGTCATTACTACGTTTTAAATAGCGATGCAGTTTATCAAATATGGAGCTATAGGTTGCCAAACTTTTGATAACATCACTTTTCGAGAGCGTTGACCTAGGAGAGACCAAGCCCTTCTGGAATAGTATTACACCACATACACTAGAGTGAGATGTAAAATACTTAATTTGTACAACAACATATGAAATGATTTTTCTATCGCCTTCAGCGTTCCCTGATATACAGGGTGTATCAAAAAGATGTGCCTACTTTTTGATTGTTAATAATATCTTGCGATGAAGTCTTTCGGAAAGCTTTAAATACCATTTTGTAGAGCAGGCTTCAACTTAGATTCGGTTTTCATTACTGTAGGATTACGGTAAAAACGTGGACTCTGAGTTAAATACTTAATTGTGAACAAGACTGCGAAGCTTTCTAAGCGGTGTAACCGCACTTTTTAGGAACATTGAGAAAACGGCCGCTACTGCTTAACTCGCATAACTTTTTCAATGAAGCAATGTGATGAGTTGTGAACTTCACATTTAGAATCAGCAACTCTAATTAGCCCAGCGTGGGAGTTTTCACGTTGTTTTGTTTCCTTTCTGAGGCAACAATTCCTCTTCAAAGTTCTTATCGTAATCCTACAGTAACGAGAGCATTCGGGTAATCGCTCCATATCGTAAATCTAAGTTGAAGCCAACTCTACAAAATGGTACCTAGCGCTTCGCGAAAGACTTTATTAACAATCAAACAGTAGGCACATATTTTTGTGACACCTTGTATTAACTTCGGATCTTTAAGAAATTCACTTTTGCAAACTTGTAGCTTGCTTGATATTTGACACAGGTTTATTACTGAAGATAATGTCTCACATTTGTCACTGCAGTGAGCAAGAACAAAAACGATTATCTGGACTCGTAGTGATCTATCCTACCTGGTGCTATTATGGGGCAGGATTAATACTATGTGTGCTAGCTTCAGATTTTCTAAAGCACCTGATGGAATTGCACAGGAAGGACGCAAAAATAGTCAAGAAGTAGATCTTGGACGAGTTGCAAAGTTACGAGGATGCCGATCAAGACCAAGCGCTCAGATAATAATAATAATAATAATAATAATAATAATAATAATAATAATAATAATAATAATAATAATAATAATAATAATAATAATAATCGCCTGGAGCAGGCGGTCCGCAAACTCGCGATTTTCCGAAAGCGGTCAGCGAACTTTTGGAGCGTGGCCATTCAGCGAGCGGTACTTCCGTGTTCTGCCAGCGGGCACCAACACCACAAATTTCCTGAAAGCGCCCGTCAAATAATCTCTTTTAGCGAGCGCCGTCCAAACTTTCAGCAGGCGCTCGGACTATTTTTAAGCAGTTTCAGGCTTCGTGGAGCAACGGTGAGACTCTGTGTAGCAGAGGTGTCATGAATGGCTCAATTACCAGAGTTTGGGGTACTTTCTCTCAGCGGAAGGTGCCTAAGGGCTGTGTGGTCCTCCACAAAGGACGGTGCGGCCCTCAACAATTTTGCATATTCTCGCGGAAAGTCCGCGAGAACGCCGCCACTGCGCCGCAACTGACTGTGAAGAAGCCGCAATTGTTCTCCAAGCATTCGTCTAAAATTTCGCCAAGATTCCTTCAAATATCTGCAACTGGTTTCCGGTGCCCGCTTGCCCAAAAAGCGCATGGCCGCCTGCCCTCGGCAATTATCCGAGCGGTAAGAGAGAATTGTATTTGCGTACAAACACTCAAGATCAAGCAAAAAGTATAATAATAACAAATTTGGTCATTTAAACGAAGAAACAATTTTTGAGAGTGTGGCAGACGCTGCCAATAAAGTACAGGTCCTCATCTTGGTAGAAGCCGCGTGCTGGCAACTTTCTAGCTCAAACGAGCACGCTATCTGTCGTGCTTTCTGACCTGCCGGAGCAGCTCTCATTGCGCAAATTCGGCGGTACCGGCAGGTTACCAACAGAAACTCGCCAATAGCACTTTCTACATTTCCCCACGTTTTAAATCGTGGAGTTTATGGAATCTCTGATAGGTTTTTCACGGTCGTTAGGGCATCTTCAATCAAGCATTGTCTAGTAAGAAAAGGACCTGTGGTTCTGCTTCGATTCTCCCTCGATAAATTGCAAGTGGTGCTTCCCATACACCGAACTTTTGAGATAGTGGTAAGATTTTCCTTTTTGGAACATCATTTTGGCAAAATTCAGCCTTAACGAAAGGCACCTAGCTTTTTTTTGGAAATTGACACATATAAAACCAGTTTAACGCTGATTCCGAAACATGCTATCCATAGCTGCAGCACGCCATTCCGAAACGAGTCATGAGCTTTGTGCAAAATTTTGACATACTACAGCGCTTGGTAAGATTGCCTCTGGGTAAAAACCTGCCCGAAAAAGGTGATGGGATATCGAAATACCCTAATTTCACGCGTACAAGGCGCGGGGTGGTCCTAGCTTTCATCGAGCTGCTCAGCCGCCCCGACGTGTTTTAAGAAGCGATCCTTATGACGCACGATTCGTCAGGCAAAACGCAGCACGGTATGGTGTTCCCTTGGGGGAACAAACTTCCAAACTCATTTTGTTCGAAAATGAGTTTTTTGTTCGTGCATCGAGAATGTTGATGAAACTACCCAAAGAACTTTTAGCCTGCAAAAATTGTACATCATTCAAACGTGAAATCAAGAAGAAGAACTTGAATGTTTCTTTCTTTGCATGTAGAACTCGCTTACCAGTCGCATGCTAGATCATGCACTTGTTGCCGGCCGTGTGCACTTCTGAATCTCAATTAGCGCATGTGTCCAACAAATTCTACTTATCATTCCATTTTTTTGCTGCTTGGCTGGACTTGTTATTCTACTAACTTAAGCATCATGTAGTTTCGAGCCCAGTCTAGCAGACAACTTGCCTAGTTCATACAGCTTGCTAACCCTAACTACGCTTGCTTAATATGCAAATTTCCTAATCATTTTCGGAGCTCAGGACCTTTCTCAACAAGCCGTGTTGGGCGGGGCTTGCCAGTATACCCGCCAGCCGAACTTCCGGCTTGCTTTTACGAATATATAAAGATCGTTCCTTGCTGGCAAACGCGGGGCATGGGTACGTCTCCATTGAGTTCATGCAAGCGCGAGATTACGTACATCCCCAAAAATCTTATGCAAGCTCTTTCACTATCGCTATACTATTTCTTTATATAGTCGCCTGGACTGGGCGGCATGGGTACGTCTCCATTGAGTTCATGCAAGCGCGAGATTACGTACATCCCCAAAAATCTTATGCAAGCTCTTTCACTATCGCTATACTATTTCTTTATATAGTCGCCTGGAATGGGCTTGGGATGACGTGGTGATTTTTTGTTACTTTTGTGTTTTCGACACTAACACTTGATTTTTGTGATTTGGATTGCCTCGAGCGTATGATTGAATGAATGAATTGAAATCACCTCAAGAGCTCTACAAATCATTACCTAATACACTGGTGTGTAAGGTAATGATTTGGGTAACCCTCTAGTGTTTCCTAACATCTAAAAAGCATGATTTTCAAATATGGTTAACTTGGTCACAAAAGTGAAATAAGTCAGCTTTTTCGTACTCATAACAAAGTAATACTCCCTATCAGTCAGTAATAAAAATTAAACTTCAAATCGTTTACAAATAATGGATTAAGAAGTGCTGTAAAAATGATAGTCACCGCGCTTTCTACCTCAAGTGCTTCAACTTTACCGATCACCACAAAGCCAGAACAAGTCGAAGTAAGCTTAAACACCCATTGTAGAATCTCCGAAATCTATGCTATCAAATCATATAATAAGATGGCAAAGCTTCTTTGGTGACAAAGTTAATTGGTCAGGCGCAACCACTCAAAAGGTCATTCCGCCTGAGCTTTTGAGGGTTGTGCCTGACCCCCTTGACTTGCCCCCAGAATCCAAAAATCCCCATTTTTGGTATGATTATTGAGCTCATAGCGTCTTCTTGCTATAGTGGAAATTTGGAGCCGAAAGTCCCATCCTTAGAAAAATTATGCTTTCAGTAGGCCCATTCAGATCAAAACCAGCCGTCAAATTACGTGTGACTGTAATGTGCAGCCTCAGAAATTCGGGGTACAGTTCTCAAAAATCTGAAAATTTTATAGAAAAGTATGAATCTAGAATGTTACAATCAGAAGTTCCGAAGGTCAAAAGGAGGAAGAAGGGGTCGTTTGAGGGCTTTGGGAGAGAAGGGGGGAGAGGTAGCTTTTGAAAGACTTGTGACCTCTTGCTCAACTCTGGTTGTATGTATTCACAGGGTAGTGCTGACGGTTGGACGAGTTAAAAAAACGAATAAAAAACGGTGCTTAGTAGGCGTTCCGGAAGTTATTGTCTTGACACTTCAAAAAAAACAAGTATGTGGATATGCAAGGAATTCAAGTACGATTCACGCAATTTTCTTTCTTTCCATTTCGATGGTAACTTTTGTGTTAAAAAAGACATCGAAGTTTTGAAACTGTGGCGTAAATATCACCAACTTTAGCAATATTCTGCAATTTCCACTGTACACTTTTGTAAGAGCTTCGCTTCAACTGCAAGTAAGCAGAGCAACAGAAGTGCAATGCATCAGACTTCTTAGCATTTTCAGTTAGCCAGTCAGTTTTCGTATGCGACCAAGTTCAGGTTCGGGAAAGCCAAACCTGAAAAGCTCAAGCGGCGAACAACTAGGGCATCATTCTGTGAAGGTTTTGCTTTCTTGGCAGCCATTTTTCTTCCCGATTCGTTAAGATTCCGCAGATGAGTTTAACGTTGTCGCTGCTCACGGATGGCTGGGGGCATCACGATGCAGCGCAGTTCGGTCGTGGACATGGTTGCGGCGTTTCACCGTCTACAACCTTATTCGCTGTCGAACCAGTACGCAGACACATTCCTAGCCTCAGCTATAAAGCACATGCGTGCGTCATCGTGACCTCTTCATTACTTCTACCTTCGTTCGTGCTCATATTATTGATCGGACTTCTGTAATATCGGCGTAGTGCTTGCGTCCCCGTGCCCCAAGCGAGTGTAAGGTTTGACGATCGAATGGTTTGGACGCGCAAGGATGGAAATTCAGGTTGAACATCTGGGATACATGGACATGGTGAAGCTGGGTTTGAAGTTGTTGGTTAACATCTGCGAGGTCGTTGTCAGCCGTGCCGCCGCTACCGGCTGACCTGTATGTCAGATTTCTTGGAAGTTGGAAGAGTGGGAAAGTGTATAAGGGGAGAGAGTGTGAATGAGTTAGAGTCTCATCGGTAGCACGGCGTTGGCTCTCTCTATGGTATATTGGTTTTCATCTGGTGTAATACTTCATTATTTTCTTAATAAATTTGTATGTATATATTAGGTTGTCGGATAATTTCTGTTACACTTTTTTCTAAAATTTCTAAAAAATTTCAGAAGCTTTCTGAAAACCCCAAATCTGCAACATGCTTAGGACATAGCAGGGTCTACCCACCAGCATGGTTGATTCCGCAAGTGCACTAATGACCAACAACCTTACGACAGTTTTGAAGAGCAGTCAAATTTTTCAGTTCTTGTCTGATCTTTTTCTCTGCACCTACCTGCCCTTTCCCTCTCTAGAATTTTTTTAGAACGTTTTTTGGCATTGTCTCTTACATGGAGGCATTGCGGTGCTTTTATCGTTTCAAAACGAGAGGCGAAAAAAATATCAAAAAAATTCAAAAACTTTCCTAAATTCTTCTTTTTATGTGCATTGTATAGAAATGAATACAGAAAGCATAAAAATCATTTTTGGAAATTTTTTGAAGACGTTTTCCTCGTAAAAATTCCGATGATTCCAAAGATGGCGCACACTGAGATTTGAACCGCTCAGAAAAACGTGTGCAGACATGTCTGCGTTATCCCCCCATATTAGCTAAACGCTACAGATTATGCCATACCTGATTAACACATTGTCCGGTCTATCGCTCCTCACTTGAGAGAACGCCAGCTCATTTACAAAAATGGAAAGAAACGGATTTTTAGCCACAAAGTGAGTATTTTGCGCATGGATCGCGGATGCGACGGTACCCTTGTATAGGCCTTTTGACCCTGCCCATACACCGTAAACATGAGATCTTTCCAAAGCTTCTGAGATTTTTAAGAATTAAAATAAAAAGCGTAACAGAAATTATCCGACAACCTAATACATGTTGTCCCAAAAACCTGTGCAAACTGTTTGATTATTAGTGACTATCTTGCTTCAATCTTTTTCGTCTATCTTGAGGTACCGCTCTATAGAGCGGTACCTCAAGATAGACGAACTTTAACTTACATTTACACTAGGGGTCCAATTTCCGGTCATTTTTCATTACTGTAAGATTATGGTGAAAATCTGAGGAAGGTTTGAGTCACAGGGAGTCGCATTTTGCCTCAAAAAAATAATCAAACAAGCAAAAACTTTCAGACTACTGTAATCATGATTATAATAGGCTGCGCTGCATAAGTTCTGTCCGATTTTTATGTCCTGTGTCTAGAGCACCTAGGTTGTAGGAGGGTTTCATTTCTAATGCGATATTGTTAGTATCATTAGAAAGTGAATTTTTGCTCTTGCTAACACACTTCAAATTTCAATAAATTTCCTAGTGTGAAGAGATTTCAGACCTAAAATCTTCAAGTAGCCGAGGTATATTTACCTTAGAAATATGTTCTTGCGAGGAAATCTCCACAATGCGCCATTGAAGTCAAGTCCTTTCATTGGTTGCGGAATAACAAGGATTTTCGCAAGTCTCAATATGTGTCCGATGGCCAAGGAACTCCGACACAAAGAAGCTGAATTCTTGGAAAAAAGTCGACTTCAAAAGAAGTTATGACATTTTGAACTCAAAAATTCAAATCGGACAGAACTTATGCAGCAGCCCAATAGTTGATTTCAGATATGAAATTTGCACGTTACAGTCATGCTCGTTCCCAAGTAATTTCATGAAAACCGTAATAACTGCTCTTATTGTTTCTAAAAAATGTGATTGGACCGAAACCGGAAAATTTGTAAAAAGTTGTGCAATGAAATCAGCATGTTTGAAAACCTTGTTACACACTTTTCCAATTTCTTTGTAATTTTTCATCAAACGGCTTATTTCGAGATGCCTTGTACCCCGAACGTTCATACCGTAATTTTACAGCAATGAAGAGAGGTCGGGGATTCGCTTTATTCTGTCAATCTGAGTCAAAACAAGCTCTACAGAATGCTGTTTAGAGGTCGAGAAATATTCTGAGAAAGCGAATTATTAACGATTAAACATGTGCACATCTTTTTGAGACACCCTGTATATGCTGTATATGTCGTTTTTCTGGGTAGGCGTAACGCGCCACTGTATGCACCCAAAGTCCTTTAAGGTGGAAATTGCGGCGTATGGCAGCAGAATACCCTCGAAAGAGGCGCAGAGCCCACCGAGTTGCAAGAATCGTTTGTAGTTTTCAAAGAGCCAACGGCTGTGCCTTGACCGTCGACATTTCGAGGACACAAATGCTATCACTGTTGCATAGCAATATAAATTAGGAACTTCCGAATCTTGGAACTTTTTCAGCTTTTGATGGAGTTTTGTATAATAGAATTTCGAAAACCGAAAATGTCATGAAAAATTCTGAAAAGGTGGTTAGAAATGAATGCCTATAAGATTTACTGCGTTGCCTTTTTTACTCTAACCACCTGTTATGATGAAAACTTCGAGCATGGTAAAAATTATGGCTCCAAAAAGAAAAGCTGACCTGAGTAGTCTTTGAATCACTGCCTCTGAAAGACGATAACAATGTATAAACGACTGAATAGCTCTAAGGCGCACATATCGAAAAAGAAATCGGATATTTGGCCTTTCCCTTTAATTCCGGTGACAGTTCATGCGGTCCGCTAAGCGAATCTGGGCCCGTAGTAAGCCCTTCTCGTCGTCAGAACATAGAGGGACTCTGTCGTGATAGCTTGAAGTATATAGCAAAACTATCGCCTCCGCGCCCCATCGACTGCTACTTTCTTTCATTCTCTAGTTAACAGATCAGACCTTACTTGTACAGAGACAACATAGAAATTTTACGGAGCATTAGTAATAAGAAAGGAACATACATGCTGTTGTATCAAAAAGTTTTGCTACGCAACCGTTTTATTAAATTGACATCCACAATCGCATGTCTATTGAGTTAAAACTGCATAATGGTCGCGGCGAAGCTATACTAAAAAGCATTTCAATGTAGCGCCAGCAGTCCAAGTCCTGGATTGATTGACATCCCTGGGTGAACATATTGCATTTGTATTCCTCTCACTTAAAATAGGTCTCGCAGATAATCTTTTATTTTTTCAAAAACAAAAAACACTCACGCATGCCTCCAAACGCAGAAACAAAGATTGCGACAGCGTTTATGAGTCTGAACCACATGCTTACGGCATAAGATGAGAAGATGAAAAGTTACTGAAAGCATAAAAAATGTCATTGTTGATCCGCAAAGTGTTTGCACACCATGAAAAGCTAATCTAAATGATGTGATATCTATAGGGCAGAATGCAAATTTCTAATCTTGACAAATTATAACGCAAAATTGGGCTATAAGTCAGTGCCGTACTGAGGGAGTGGAGGATAAGGAAGCCTCCCCCCCCCCCCCCCCAGAGTGAATCGCGAATTTTTGAAAGTTACTTATATGAGTCAAAAAGTACAAATGACTTGCTTATATTTGTAAAAAGTCAAAATATTTTTTAGAGCTTTTCATAGTACAATTAAGCCTTATAAAAACTCTCAAATGCCGTTGCCGCCGCGCCTCTTTTGTTGCCTTTTCAAAAACAAGAGTTCAACAAACTGTCTGCAATGCATATGTACGAGAGCACAAAAAAGTGCTGACAATGCAGCCAATTCACTGGCGGAACACTGATTTGTTACATTTGGATTCTGGGACACCTGTTGATTCCATAATCATGTGACTTGTCACATACAGCTTTCCCACTCTAAGAAGCATTTGTGCAGAATCACATTACTCCATTAATACCGTCACGTGCCTGAAGCAGCTTGCCAATTTATCTGAATGAAATCGCCTAAGGGGACTCAAAGCTGAAGCTGAAAATATGGCACTTTGCGATTATGAGTTTGGTTTCCAGTGATGGAGTGGAGCTAACTCGTCACAAAAATCTTCCCAAAAATTTTTATTGGTGGAAGCCTATGGGAGACATTTCGCATAAAAACACAAAGATGAAAATATTGTGAAAACGTTATAATACAAGAAAGACAGTTATCACTGTATTCACTTCGCAGATACACAGCTGGAAGAAGAAAGCTGAAATAGTATTACCTAAATCATATGGAACTTTGGTGTGAAACAGTGTTTTCAAAAAAATTGCACATGCAAGATCAAGGTCTTCCACGATGTATGGCCCACTACTGTATAAGATCGATATATGGCCCACTACTGTGTAAGATATTTAAGATATTATGTAATTAACTGCGGCACTACGGTAATTCTCAACATCAAAATCACATAATTTGAAGTGACACTCTTGGAAACTTTGCCGTACAAAACGAACCAGCCAAAAGTAGGCTTTGGAACATTGTCAGAAAACAAGACGTTCTTTCATGTTGTTTTGTTGTTTTTTGTTATCTTCAGTGTTAATATTTATGGATTTCAAATTTTGTCAGAATTACGCGTATTTTCGTTCCAGCCCGATATGCATATTATAACAGAAATCACTTGCAGTCATGTATCTTGAATAAATGCGGTTTCTTCTCCTTTTTTGTCGCAGCCTAAAAGCTCTCTGTAGCTCTGCTCTGTAAACTTTGAAGGAGGCAGCTCACCAGCGCTTCTGATGACAGTTTTGAGGAACAAAGGTCATTAGAAAGTTGAGCCCCACTGTGGGCCTGTGAGCACATAACATACGCTGCATACGCGGAGTACCCTCCAGCGGCGCATCCATATGGGCATCTGCTTTTTTGGGTACCACTTGCAAAACAACCCATTTTTTTTCTCCCGATGTAGGTTTTGGTGGCTCTAAGGATTGCGCAGCGTACGTGGCTTCCAATTCTGGGTTGGAACAGACTTCATGGCGTACGCGGCGTAGGCGAAGTATGCAGTGTACGCACACGTGCATAAAGAGATGGGGCGTATAACATCTGTTCCTCGTGCCTTGTTATATTGGGCTGACCAAAAAATTTTGTTTTGAAATGCTCTACAACCAATCGATCAACAACTATTTAGCCGCGAATTTTTTTGTGAGAGATATCCTCGAGCCTTTACTCTCACATATCATGCAGCTTGTAGTGATTGCACAGATAAGTAATTCGGTGATTGAGTACATATAATCTTTGGCTACATGGATAATCATTTCAGAAATTGCCTGCTGTTTGTGAACTTCTGCAGCCAAAAATGTGGAAATTTCCAGTACTTGCGTGTGGATGTCAATTTCTTTGAAATCCAGAACGCTCGAATTTAACCCTCTACGGCCATGCAAATGTTGGAAATTTCACAATTTATTGTACTGCCATATGTAACCTTTACACTTGAATTCATTGCGTATGTAATCTTTACACCTGAATTCAGTTCGGAATTGGTGAGTACATCTGACTACTTTTTCCTGCACCATTTCGTCGTGAAAGAATGAATTTCGAACAGTCTTTTCAATTTGTTCTTTGCAATGGTACCATTTATTAGGTTGTCCCCGAAAGTTTTGTCGGTTTTTTCATCGCTCACTAAAACTCACAGAACACCAGTGCATGGACCATTCATATACCATTTGATTCAGATTTTTATCCTCTTAATTATAGCTATATTTGCGCCCTGATCTACCCTGTCTTTGTGATGTTATTGCCATGGCTTTTGAGCAGCTCAACAGTGAAGCCAAATCTTCACCGGATTTTAGAAAATTTTTATCTGGATTTTTTCGAAGAGCTTTGCTGACCTCATGCAGGGCAAACCTTTGGCTACAATGTGCCAATTTGGAATTACATGGGCCTCGTTAATCAAGTCCGTAATGATTATTTATTTAAAAAACCGACTTTTTGATTACGTTCACCACGTAACATTGTCGAAAACTCCAAAACGCTGATATTTTAAAGCAAACTCAAGTTGGTTATGCTGCATAAATAATGTTTATTAACAATCAAGTTCCAATTCGCAGTAACTTCAAAAATTTCACGTTTTTGCTGCACTTGTGTGTATCATGACTTTGACAAAAATCGAGACTTTCGAAGAAATAATTTTTTGAAGCTAAAAACAGCAGATAAGAAGAATTCAAAAAATAACTTCTATATAGTCCAAAACTTGCTCTATTTGGGCCATGCTTAATCTTTTCAGAAACTTTGAAATAAAATTTTAAAAGTTAGCCGAACTTTGAGCAGATAAAAATGACGGGTGAAGAATTTTGGAAATGATCAGAATAAGCATATAGGATTGTGGTTCAAAAATGTATCCGTAAGAAAGAGAAGAAAAAGCTGCATCGAACGCATGTTAAAACACATTCAAGTCTTTATTATGCGTGGTTTTATAGTGGTTTGAAAAAATCGACAAAACTTTCGGGACAACCTAATATTAGTGCATAATTTGTATCATTCCTACAAACCGTCAAAAACTAAACATCCGCAGATCATCATTTTTGCAAAACATTGATAATTCTCGCTATGATGCAGCGGCACTGGCTTCTTCATTGAGCGAAAAACTGCATTTTCAAATGCAGAGTATTTCCCGCCATTTTGTGTAGAGTGAAAGTTTGATAAACTATTTCAGTAAACGTACAACAAACAAGTAACAAAACAAAAAAAAATTATTAGAGCTAGCATTTGAACTGCTCGGCGAAGAAGTACCAAAACGTTTTGCTGAACATATTGATTCGGTTTTGCGACTGTTTGGTTTTTGACATATGCAGCAGAGAACACAATGAATAGTCTGAATATCTTCGTACATTGTTTCAACTCTGATTGATGCAATAATGCACGCTCAATTATCTCGATGGTCGATAATCAGTCGAGGATAATGAGGAAGTCTCCTAAAAAGATTCCATCTATAAAAGCCGCAACAAGGGTCTTATGGCAGTTTCCAGAGAAAGAGAACCACTCCTTAAGTGTTGTGCAAAGCTACCCATATATTCACTATGAAAGCCTTTCCAAAATCTCAGTCAATGTTAATCGCAGACTCAGCAAACTCCGCTACTAATGTATGGTTTATGCTGCTTGTAATGCTTTCTTTCATCTACTTCGCTTCTGGAATACGTGAGTAGTTCAATTAGTTATAAAGCCAACAGACTAACAATAAGCATGCTCCTAATACTAGAGTTTTACACTCCTCAGAATGATTGCTGTTCTTAGAGACAGCGTTCAGGCAAATCCGGCCCTAGGATTTTACGTGCAAAGTAATTCTGGGGTTCTAACTAAGGCACTAAGCAGCAGCTCAAGTACTGCTATAGCGGCTGAGATACACGCCTCCAAACTGGACCTCACAATCGTCTTCCGCATGGATTCAGGGCGCAATCCATCAGCTTCGCGCAAGGACCCACGCGAAACTGATGGCTTGCGACATAAAGCCATTCGAAATACGATCCTGGGCTTCAGTTTCAAGGAAAATATCTAAGTTATCAGAACACTACCTGAGCAGCCGGTTGGGCAACGGCTTAGTTAGGGCTCCATAATTACTATCCATGTGAGATCTTCATATGTCCAAATTTGCCTGGACACTGCCTTTAAATGTTTTATTACGCAGAGATGGGAGGTAGTGCAGGATCGCTAATAGATGGTGACAGTGAATACGAAACGCAAACCAGCCGGAACACCAAAGTGCCAGGTAAGTGTGCAGAGAGATTTATCTTTGATAGGGGTCGCTCTCACAAATAGGAATTTCAGGTAGAACCAAAAAATTGCCCACAGGGCCAATTTTTAATAGGTACGGCAACAGGCTTCAATATCCAGCCATTTGACTCAACTGCTCGCGTCACTTCAAGATGCAAATTGAAAACATGTAGTAATTCTAAATTAAAATATGAAAATCAAATTAGGACGTGTAGCAATCCATACCATAAAGTTTGTGAATCTATACTGTGTTAAATTGTCTTTGCGTAACAATGAATTTGACAAACAGCTAAATTGACCCAAGAGAACGAGTCTATATTGAACTTACGGTTACGAACAAGAGGGAGGTACAATGGAGATGAGGTCCAAAAAATTCAATTTTGCTGTTTGTAGCGCAAGCGTATGTAAGCGCTTTACATCAAAGTTTCTTTATTATTAGCAGAAATTCAAAGAATCATTTTACGAAGAAACGAGCATCTTGGAAGTTGTTTAAACTTAGACAAACAAAAGCCAAAACAGGATATTCTCCTTCTCTTGACTTGATTGCTCAGAAGCAATGATGCACGTTTTCCGTTCCTCTCCAACCATCCAAAGCTGTATGGATTCTGTTGTCGTCCGTCGACCGATGAGCGAGACCTTTATGGATAGTAAGGATGGATGGTCGCAATATGGTTTATGAGATGTGCTATGGGTTATGATGCTGTGCTTGCTAAATTGTTCTTACAGTTCAATAGCTCAGAATCTCGCTTAATATTTAAATATAATAGCTGGCAAGAAATGAAGATTTTCAGTTCAAGTAGGCCAACGACGAATGCTCGCAATAATGTTGGAATCCAAATTTTTCTCGCTTACTTAAGCGATCATCAAATTGTATAAACAGCGACAAACATGTCTTACGAGTATTTCTTAGCACAGCACTTTCTCTTCTCTTTAAAAGTTGTACATCCTTTTTGATGCATATAGCTTTTGTGCACTATCACAGCTTCTGAGTGTTATTCTATTAAGTTGTCCCATAAGTCTTTTCATTTTTTAATTTTCGCTGTGATAAGTCGTGTACTTCTTATTCTGAATAGACATCAGGATACCATCCGATGAAGCAAAGCAGCTCTTTAAGATGACGTCTAAGCTTTTGCACCAGCTTCGATTCACTTCAAATTCAAAGCCAATACCTCAAAAGTTTCCGACGCCCAAAAAAAATGAAATTTTTTTTATATCTTCGTTCAAAAAAGTCCTACAAATCTCTCACTCGCTCACGCATATACACTTCACATCAGACACTCATAGGTGCTGTTGCTGTAAATTTTTATGGGCTAAAAATTAAGAAAACGAAAAATCCCATGTTTTTACCAAAGTAATGCTGTGCTGTTCTTACACTAACACTTGTATACTACAAGCCTTTAGAAGTACAAGCGTAAATGTTTAGCTTTTTATAAGCTCTAGTTACCGAGAAATGCTAGGTTAAGCGTTAAAAGCTCGAATGAGGTAAGCTAAATTCGATATATCTCGGGATCTAAAGCTCGTAGAGAGCTAAAAATTTAGGGTTGTACTTCTAAGGGCTTGTAGTATACAACTCTTAGTGTAAGAACAGCATAGCATCATTTTGGTAAAAAGGAATTTTTCGTTTTCTTGATTTCTAGCCAACGAAGAAATACGGCAACAGCACATATGAGTGTCTGATGTGAAGTGTAAAGAGTGAAGATAGAAAAAATTTTCAATTCTTCGGGCATCCGAAAGTTCTTAGATTTTGGTTTTAAACTTAAGGTGGATCGAAGTTGGTGCAAAAACAGAAACATCAGCTTGTAGAGCTTGCTTTGCTTTATCGAATGGCATCCTGATGTCTATTCAAAATAAAAAGTACACGAATTATCACAGCGAAAACTCAAAAATGAAAAGACTTATGGGACAACCTAATAATTTGAAGGAAAAGTAGCGTTCACCTGCTTTATCGTATAGTATCTGCATGAAACAAAATGATTAGCAACTTTTCTTGGCAATGCCTCAAATTAGATAAGCCCACTCTTAACGTATGTAAAACAAAATGTCCCAAGAAAATCAAAGAAGGCAAGAAAAAACCTATTTTTCTCTAAAACTCTCAATCATTGAAAGTTCTTACTCCTCCTTGAGAAGCCCCGACAGGTGTGAAAACCAGAGTTCTCTATTTGATCAAGTACAGAACGGAACTCATATTATTTTTCTTGCTGGAAATGTCTTGCCTATCTCGTCAACTCCGATTGATGTGTGCATTTTTGCGTCACATATTTGTCTGTAGAAAACGCCTGCAGATCATATAAGTACTAAAATAGACTACTAAGTTGGTAAGGTAAGAACAAAAGTAGACCTGTTGAAACCGCAGGTGGGACTGCAGCAGCGTGCGCGGGCGCTAAAGGTTGTTCCCAGACGAAGGTTGCTGCATATCAGCGAAGCGTGCGCGAGCGTACGAGCTCTAATGATAAAAGGTGCTCGAACAAGCCGTTCGCAGCTGCTTCGCCAATGGATCGACCGCCCTTGTAAGGATTCAGGCTTTACCTGCTGCACACTCCGAATGTATACTTTGACGTACGTTGAGTGCGTCACATCTTGTCGAATCTAGAGAACTACGTCAGCTATAACGATGATTTCACACAAAGTTACTCTAATCAACTCGAAAATTGTAGACAGGGCTGGCTTTCTCGATAGAGGCGCGACGCTTTCATAAAGCATTCTGTGCGAAATTTGGACGACAAAAGCAAATAAACACATTATTGCAAAATGGAATTGCTTATAAGCCTCAACCAATTCTTACAGCAAACAGTGCATTTAGAGAGCAAGGCATAAGATAAAATCTGTCATGTTCCACATAACGATTGTTGCTCGTGACAAGTATCAACAATGAGGGTGAGGCCCAAGTGTAAGCAAATTTTATGATCCTCATATAAGCTGCCAGGTATTTCGCTAAAAAATTGCTTGGCTTGTTTCCTAAGCAAAATCACTGCATTCTTGAGTGCAGCGATATTCTCCATATTTTTTGTGAAAAGCGAAAGTTTGGTAAGTAATATAAATATATGATATACAAAGCGAAAAAAATTGTTGGCACTTGCATACCATTGCTTAGTGACGCAATACCAAAAAGCTTCATTGAATACGCTAATTTTTACTGTTACTAAAACTTTTTGATTCTTGAAATAGGCAGCAGCCATACATGAACGCGAATCAGATTAATGCAATGATGCACGCTAAATAGTCTTGTAATGACATCTCAATACCAAAAGGGAATCTATCTGGAAAGGATACAGCTATAAAAGCAACGGCAATAACTTCTATGGCAATAATTTCTTCTTTCTTCCACAAAAAGAACGCACATCTCAATCAGGTGCTTAGCATAGCTCTCTATACATTTATCTACTTCGATCCGCCTCCATTATTTTAGCTCAATGTCTAATTTAGCAAAGCTACTTGCGGTCTTTTCGCTCATCTACTTCGCTGCTGGAATACGTAAGTTGTTGAGCAATTATGAAGCTACCAGACTAGTGAGTATGCTATTCAATGCTGAAGTTTCATCGCATAGGAATGGGAGGCTATGCAGGAGGTATTTCCTATGGTGATGACGATCCAGTCGGCCTCAATTCCAAAGCGCTAAGTGGGTAACTTACTTAACACGCTTACAAACAAACAATGTAAGTGCCCAGTCGAAATCTTACAAACAACAAGGAAAGTGCCCAGGCTTTATGGTAACTCCAAAGTATTACAAAACGTTTTGCAAAGAATCGAACGCTACTTCCAATTTCGTCTTTGTTATCTGCTGTGCGCTTCTAAACTCTAGCTATGAGGGATTTCGTGGCTGGAAAATTGGAAGAGCGTTTAGGACTAAATTATTCAGTACCTCTCATAGCAGTCAGTGCGAGATATGGGGCTCTCCACGCATTGTATATACAGATTTTTTGATAAACTTATGCCCACCATTGCGCTATGTGGCAATCCTAACGATCATCTTCACGCAAATCTACGCTCACATTTTATTCAAAAAAGCATGCAGAACTTGGCGACCAGAAGCACACAGCAATACTACAGATAATTTCGAACTCGTTTCTAGATGCTCTACGAAATTTCGATACTGTTCTACAAAATAGTGTAGAACTTATCTGGAAAGCTCATTCAAATACTATTCTTATGAGTATGACTTTAACTCCCAGATGTTTTACTACTCAGAGATGGGAGGTAATGAAGGATCTATCCCTTTTCGCCACCCGAATGCTGATAACAAATATCGAAAAGCAACCGACGGAAACATCAAAGTGTCAGGTGGGCGCCAAGTGAAAATACTAGCTGCAGCATAAATGAATTCATTAGGAAGGCGCGGAAGGAGAATGCGAGGAAAAGCCGGAAAGTTGACTAATAAAGAAGCTGGAAAGACGAAAAAACCTAAATTGGTCAATATTACCATGGAAGGAAGACTCCTACCCATCGAAATTGATTTGGACTAGAAAGTTTAGAATGAAAAATCATGAATTTTTTAGCACAAAAAGTATGGACATCATATTGTTCGTTCAATAGTTTTTCATAGAAAATAGAATTCTGTAGAATCATTTTTACATGCCAAAAACACAGGCATCTTGGCGTGCTACTCCTGCAGGAATGGGTTACTGCACATGCATACAGATTTCAGCAGCTTGTCTTAAAGTTTATGCGTCAAAAATGTATTTGAAGAATGTATTGTGAATCTATTGAAATAATATGATTACTAGTCGAATAGATTCTAAGACCTGAAGTTTTGTAGAGCACAGTTCGAGGAATAACACTATGCCGTAATAGCAATATAGTGTTGACTGAACGCGCCGCAGCGTCTCTGGAGTCCCGTTTGCATTAAAAGACATCAGTTCGCGTATTTTTCACTTATTCTAATGTAAAAACTGTCCATAAGCTACAGATATTAGCCGCCATGAAAGAATATTTCGGGAAAAAGACATATTATATGTTGTAAAGCCATACTTACAGGTCACAATGTATATATTCGTGACTAGTATAATAATTTACCCCCCCCCCCTCCGCCCCTGTTGACCAACCTGTGTTCAACTCCCAGCCCGAGCGCAAACTTTGCAAAAAAACGATAACATCGATATCGACCGATAACGAGTAGTAACACCCCCCCCCCCCCCCCGCCCCGTATGACTGCAAAGTTAGGTCCGAATCTCCATATATGGAATTTTCTAGTAGAAACATACGTACAAACAGACATTCAGCTTCATATCTATATAGGCTGTACCACCCAGCATGTCCCGCGCCAGTGTGACTTGCGACGGCGCACCGCCGTGCGACGTGCCTTAACGCGTGGCAGAGTTCGCACGCGTCACACCGCACCGTCGCAAGTTGCCGCTTGCGCGACGTCGCATAAACGCTGCTGACTGGTACAGCCTATATAAATAAAACTCAAAGTTGTGAGTTTGGAGGCTATCTGCGTTATAGAAACGCGCACCGCTCAACCGATTCAGCTGAAACTTTGCACACTTATGTATTCGATTCCTGCGCAGATGATAGGCTACTTTTTGCAGCAACCCATTACTTCCTTCTATCGATTTATTGATTTGTTTACTATTGTTTACTTTTTTCTAAGGAATTGAAGGTTTATCATGTTCAGTCAAGCGTTTTCCCATAATCATGAAAGGAGGGCGGTGAAGCTCATTTTCACCTGAGGATCACGAGAATGCGGTTTGAAGCAGATATCCTAGGGTAAGCCATCCATAACATGTAGGGGAGGGGATGGGGGTTTGCAGTGCAGGTGAACGGAACAAGGCTCGGGCTGGACCGGGAAAGCCAACTAGTATAAGATAAGAAGAGAAGCAACTGAACACGTGCATATTATAAACCTCATCGGTTGCAATACTTACAAGAACTAAACTTCCGGTAATTAATTCTTCTACATTAATTTAGATCAACGCACCCTCGACTCATATAGTCATGTACGCCGGTCTTTGAGCTTCGACAGAAAGCAATTTTTATCTGAAAAGAAAAAACACAAGTAATGCGTGGTGAAGCCCTGGATATTATGATCATAACTAAATCGGAATGAATGTGAATGAAGCAGGTATATGGATTATATCTCAAAATATTGGGTTGGAAACTAAGTTTTGCAACTGGTCTCATAACTTCCCTCTCACTCAACATGGTGCACTCAAACTTTGCCACTGTGTTGGTTGTTACGTAAGCTACAAGCGCAGCTGCTGTCCTACCAAATTCTGACGTCGCTGTGAGGGTTACGGTAGGTGCATGGTATGAAGGGGAAAAATTCAAAGTTTGACGGATTTGGCTGAAACTTGGCATAGGGGTGTTATCCGGCATGCTGATCACGAAAACGATATTGAAATTGCGTGATAAGGGCTCTGTTGTAGGATTACTGTAGGTGTACCGTATGGGGTCTCACCCTAAACAAGGGAAAAGGCGTTGATTCAACAAATGAATACGATATTCGCGTTTGGCAGGTCAAATAATCTTACTATGTGAAGTCTTGGCGGAATTTGAGCTTCGGACTCTTTAGTCACTGACGGTCGCCCCCAGCAGCTCTTGCGTACATCGACTCGTTCGACTTTATGAGGACGCCAAATCTCGACATGTCCCTAAATTTTGTTTCTTTCTTAATAGACCAAAGAAGTCAACCTCCAGCAATAATTTGCAGACGAATCCGGATTACTGCGCATGGTCTAGGCTGCAAAAGGCTTCATTTTAGCTTGAAATCTCAAAAATTCTCAAATTTTACTAGTTCTCGGAAAACGCCTGAAACTTTTCTATTTCGTGTTCAAAACTTAGACAATTTGTGCTCACTTGTAGCTCACATCGCATTCTACATAATGCCAAAGTTTGAGTGCGCCATGTTAAATGAGAGTGAAGTTATGAAACCAGTTGCAAAACTTAGTTTCCAGCCTAATATATCAGCAAAAATAAAAATGGCTTTATAGCCTTTTTAACGCTGAAAAAAGATTTTTGTGGAACTTTCCTCAGAATTCACCTTAACTCTTTCTAGAATAAAATCAAGTTCCGAAAGCTTAGAAATCTTTGGAATTCAACGGAAACGAGAAACTGCACTCGAAACCCGCGCAAAGAGTGAGTCGCGCACAAAAATGCTGGTTTATCTAGTTAATGAGTGGATTTTGACGGCAGGGTTTCGTTGATACCTGGGCATCCATGACCAGAGACAAACAAACCCGTCGGTTCTGGTCTTTCTCCTCTGCTCGTCTGCGTCTCCGAGCGTTGCTCGCTATCTCGCTGAACCAAGCGCGAAGCACGGGGTTAAGGCTTAAATTTTGTTAAAATGGCTACTATCCTGGGATAAACTCACTCCACGAGCTTTCTTTTGCGCTGAATCTAGGGATGACTTCTAACTTTTTTGTCGCCTTTCAGATCTATTGTAGGTGTACTGTAAATGGCAGTATGCGTAATTATAGTTGAAAAATGTGGGCTGGTCCGTAAAAGGCCTCAGTCCCAGAAGGCAGACAACTAAATATCTGCGTGGTCGTCAATGTGTTAAATCCTATTGTAGCGTACTGTGTATCATATTGAAGCAGTTGATCTCTACTTTAACGCTGACAACGACGCAAAACCCTATTTTTTGTTTCGAATGAGAAATTTGGCAAAATCATCTCTTGTTTTTCTCTAATTTAAGTCTTTTTACGCGATTCGCGCCTTCGATAGATCGTGTTTCTGACTAAAATGTAGTCAACGCCGCGGAGCTTACTTTTCAATTATGTTGGGATGTTGATTTCGACCAAATTACTACCACTCCCACTATTTTTACAAATAAATATCCCTTTGAGGCCTTCGGCATCTTCAAAGTGAGCGTGAACCAAAAACATGAGCATTGGCTTTTTGAACAAAACAATGTAGAGTCACAAATGCAGTCGATTCCCTCTCTCCCAATCCTATACATGACTGTTTCTACGAATTCCTTCACTGTGCTATGGTCTTTCTAACGGATGCAGCCTTTTTTCAATAAACATTCACCAGCAATGATACTGTTGCCTTGATGTAATCAGATCCTCTTGTGATTCACCCCACGCAACATATCAAGTGTTCTTCTGCAGATCTATGAGATCAAGTCTATTTTCAGCTAATTCGTCTCTGCCAACAAATTGTGATTGTTGAATTTATCAGGTATAACGTAAGGCACCAAAGTTGAATAAAACTGCTATAAGTCGTATTTTTCCTATAATCTCCACAAGTTTTAAGGTGCCATTAGACAGAGCAGAGCAAACTCTACAGGATGACAACCAAACGTTAACACTCCAACACAAAAAAAATGTTCCTAACGCCCGAAAAATTGAGAATAAGCAGCTTGGTCCAGAATTGGAAATCTGCAACTTGCTTACGAAATATATTCATTCAAGTATTTTCCTTCGGCTGGAAATATTAAATCCAAGCTCTTCATGTTCTTGTCAAAGTAAAGCTGAGCTGTTCCAAAAGTACTAACCAGACACGATAAGCTTTTAGTAGCGAAGCTTTCACAAGACTAAGCTTTGAAAAACATCTATTTTAGCCGCTCATGTGTGGTTTTGCATTGCAATTCTGATATTTTTGTGGATTAGCTGTCATAGAAATCTGTAAATTCACGGTCGCGCTTTTTGAAGGCAGTGTCTAGGCAGAATTTCGTTTCCCATTTTTTTTTTATCTTTTTGGAGCCTTCTCGCCATGAGGAATCCATATTTCGGCTTTTCAGCGCATGAAAATGGCGAAAATGAGCTTTTTCCGAAGATTTTCTGCTCCGCATTCAATGAAGATACGCCGGAAGTCTTTCGCGTCCCGCGTTCTTCGTTCCGGGCCCCGCCCACTCACACGCATTTTCCACTGAATGCGGACCTGGGAAGCTTCGGGAAAAAACTCAATTTCGCCATTTTCATGCGCTGAAAAGCCTAAAATTGAATTCTCATGGCAAGAAGGCTCGAAAAGCTGAAAATTTGGAAAAGAAATTCTGCCGAGACGCTACCTTGTGAGAGGTAATTACTGGAGTGCTCGCAGCTTAACATTGCCCTGACAAAAGCATGAGATATTTATGTCATCCCCAGTGGAGGAAAAGTTACGATAAGTCTACTGAACGTCTGACGCAAAGAGGTTATTATGGGCAAATAAGGTTTTTCGTGCCGAGTTCCGACATTTGTTGACTAAAAACTTTGGTAATAGTCAGTTCCGTTATTCGTTTTCTTGAAAGCATGATGTTCTCTTTGATGCAGTCAGCAGAAGGTCAGCTGTTAAATCTGGTATGTTGTTTGAACAATTTGGACTTTGCAGAAGTTATAAGGGCAATAAAATCTTAACAGAGCAACTTTATATGTCATAAACGCAATAGCCCGAAACTTCAGCAGAGTAAACTTGCATATAGGTATACTGTTGAAGTTTTGGACTATTGCCTTTATGATCCTTGTCTGAGTCATTCGAAAAATGCATCCTTTTCAAAAATTTTGAAAATATAAGTGGTACTGTCAACCAGAAATATGCAGTATTGT